ATTAAATTAGTTTTGAAACTTTATATATTTTAAATGCAAATATTTTACCAATTGGTTCTTAAAAAACATTAGGGAACTTGCTAATACTCTACCAATCAACCCCAGTGACACTCCATTTATTTTCCATCACTCGAACACTGAAAAATGAAAAGATATATGAAATCAGATCCATTAAGTTCTAAGATTTGATCTACATTTCTAACTAAAATTGTTTCTTATCCTACGTATAGATAATTATATAAAAATTTCAAAATTCTTAAATTTCAAACACATACAAAAACAATCATATGTAAATTTTAAATTTGTCAATACTAAAATTTTATATTTAATTACATATATTCACCATGCGCAAGGTGCAAGTCTTATCCTAGTTAACGTATTAAACAGAGTGATAATGGTTACAATAAAACTGCACAATTTTATGACTATTTCAATTTTTTTTAGATGCAGATTTTGGTGAAGTAAATGCAGAGACATGAGGATCCAACACACTGGAAAACTAACTTTCATATCGTAAATATGTGAAAAAAATATTAAAATAAATTTATCTACTGATTCTAATTTATTTGTATTTTACAAAAATATGTATAATATATTAAAAATATCAAATAAAATACTATGTAATGTCTTTTGCCAAGCTCTTAACTGCACTAGTGTTGGAAAGTGGTCAAATCCGTCCCACATTTTTGCGACTCAAAAATTTGACTCATCTTATCCGAAAAGAGAATATATTTTACCCGCATCCGTCCCGTTTAATTTTTCGGATAACCCACATATAATTATTAAATAATAAAAATAATTATTTTATTTTTTTTCTAAAAAGTAATCTGAATAATATATTTTTAATTAAATTTTAATACTTTTAAAAAAATTATTATAATGACTATTAGTATTTTTTTTTCAAAAAGAAAATTTTAAAAGAATTTTTGTTTTTGTTTATACGGGTTAGCAGATATCCGCAAGTTAAATTAGATTAATCCACACTTACTCCATATGAAATATATTCGATCCGCATTCACACCCACAACTTATCTACTCTATTAAAATAGAGTCATTTTTTATCTACTGATACAAGTTGTCATTTAAATTTGGACCATTTCTACAATGTTACAAATAATATAAGTCATATAATTGATTGAACCGTATTACTTAAATTAAACCAACACAATTAATGTAAAAAAACGACATTAATGTAAACTACCTTCAAAATACGGCAGATATCTACGTGTATATCGAAAACACATATTTTCTCCTACAAATATGGAACGTTCTAAAAGAATATATATCATCAAAATTTTGAATATGGAAATTTACTAATTATACTTAAATTAAACCACTGGTTATTTATGGAATATAGTATTGGGCTTACTTTTGTTTTTGAACAAATTATATAGTTTGGTTTTTGGGCTTCGTATTAAGAAAAAAACTCCAAAAACATTGAATAAACTTTTCACCTTAAAAGATCAAAAAATCAATTATTATTTTCAGACCCAAAAGATATTTAATATTTTTAACAAAAAAAAATTATCTATTATTAATCATTTATTTAAATCATGTACTTTAAAACATGTTAATATATATATTTTTTTTCCGATAACAATCACTTTTTTGATAAATTTCAATGGTAACTTTTAAATAATTTATTGTTTTATTTTTCTTAAATAATTTACTGATTAAAACAATTTAAAGCAAAACCAAAAACCAAATCTAAAAACTAAAATCCAAAACCAAAAACTGAAAACACATGTTATATTTTTTTTGTTTTGTTTATTTACAAAATAAACTATTTCAAATTTTTTTAAAAAAATTTGTTATCATCTTTTCAGTTTTAAATTAGATGTTCGATTATTTGAGATTTGTTTGTTGGTAATATTAGTTCAAACTAACTCAGCGGGTTTAAAACTTAAAAACCCAAACCAAAAACTGAAAATGAAAATAGAAACTTAAAAACTAAAAACCAAAAACCAAAATCTAAAAATAAAAACTAAAACTAAAAACTAATGAAAAACAATCACTACAAATTTTGGTGAACTGATTTTATATCAAAATATTCTTTAAATTAAGATAAAACTCAATTATATAAAATTTTTAAAAATAAAAAATTTCCGCTTGAAAAGCGCGGATCAAAATCTAGTTTTTTTTTAAATTAATCGATCCGAACCCATTTCATAACGGATCAAACATGACGGGATCTGTGGGATGTGATTAAAATTTCCAGCACTAAACTAAACCGCACCATCCAATTAACAGAAGTCCAATCAATGTCTCCCAGTTCGCCACGTCCTACAGTACTGAGCGTTGGATTCAAGACATTTCTGCAATATTCAGATTGTTTTTTTTTTTTATCAACGCAATATTCAGATTCAAATGAAATTTCATCCTATCTTGATAAGTTATCCTTTCATCCAACTTTTCTCTCTCCATTGAAAGACTTCTCTCGGAGGATATTTTATTTATTTATTTTCTTTGAAATTCTAAGGTCAAATTGGTTGTGACACGGAGAAGATTTTTCTGAGCGGGTGCGATGTCGACGATTTCGCTCCATCGGACCGAGCTGCTTAGAATCACGCACAATCGCTCGCGAATATCTCGGCAGCGATATAGGAGAAGTATTCCTCCATGGCGGATGTGAGTCCACCCCACCACTTTTTTTTTTTTTTCCTTACAAGGGGGGGGGGGGGGGGGTTGATTAGTTTTGATCAACGCAGGGTGATCAATTCGAGATCTTCTGATACGACTAAGAAGGGCGAACTCTCTGTTAAGATTCCTCAAGTTGATCAATTAAGACCTGAGGGTTTGAGATTCGACCGTTTGCAGCCTCCCGAGCCTGACCTTTTCCAGCACGATCGATTGGATTTTGGTAAATTCGTAGCACGAGAAGCCATTCTTGATGAAGAATACTGGGTGAGTAACACGATTCTTGATTCCAAACCCCATCTTCTTCCCGAGATTGACTTGACTTGGTTCAAGTTTGTGATTAGACAGCAGCGTGGCTACGTGCAGAGAGCCACTGGGAAGATCGTGCCAATGAAAGGTTTTAAGCCAAGAAGCGATCTCATTATTGACTTTATTGTTTGTAGTTAATAGTTTACAAGATTTTGCGTTGATTGTCTTATTAAAACTGTATTTCTTTTCTTTTTTTTTTTTAAACCACAGGTATGTCGACAACTTCAAAAGGAAATTTGCAGAGCAGGTTATTGATTCCCCCCCCCCCCCCCCAATTTTGTCTCTTTTTCCTTAACTGAGAGGAGAGTTTCTTCAATCAATTACTATTTCAGGAGTTCAATGCCATAAAAAGAAGATGTAAAGGGCTCCAAGGCCAGACATGTACCTGTATAGTTGCGGTATAACTCTGTTTTCGAATTATATAGTTTTGTTTTACATTTACACTATGCTAGTTTATTTGACTTTTAGCTTTCTACCTTCTTTCTATTTGTCAGCAGCTATTGTTTTTACATCGCTGTCTAGATTTTTTGCTACATGTACACTACGTGTGCTTGTTAGATTTTTTAGGATCATACTGTTTGCTTTTCTTACCCTTTTGCCTATGGTTGTTTGTATTCATCAGGTAAAGAAGGAAGAGAAGCACATTAAATGCTTTGTGATCAAAAGTGTGGTTGGGACGCTTGATTTGAACATCCGTTTTTTCTTGCAAGGAGAGACCTTTCCTGGGGTATTATTATTTCTTTCGTTTTGGTATTCAGTTTCTTGTCCTGTCCTTTCGCTATATATGAAAAAGCCTCCTAATATGTTTGCAATTACGTGTAGGAAAAGGTGAAGTCTCAATTGTTCTGCACCATAAACCGGGAAGGATCAAATAGGTATGGTTATATTGCTAACCTATGTGTTGCCAAATCTGCACGCCGCCAGGGTATTGCTTGCAACATGTTACGTTTCGCTGTCGAATCAGCCAGATTGACTGGTAATAACAATGTTAAAACGGAAGGGTAAAAAAAAAGGCAGTCATGATTGTATCTTAAACCATTAGAACGTTTTGGAGAGGATGATCTAAACCATGTGAGGATGTATTTGGTTGTGCAGGAGTTGAGCAAGTATATGTTCATGTACATAGAAACAATTTTGTTGCTCAGGAACTATACCAGAAGACTGGTTTCGAGGTAAAAAAACATAAAATTTATTACTCTGAAAATTGATTTTTAGGGACTTGACACATAAATGTTGTGTTATGGAACCAGGTCGTTGAAATGGGACAGACTGAATCATCAGGTGATACATACTTGCTCCAGTACACAAGATAACTCATAGAAACGATGTGTGTTGTGTCTCTCTTCCCTTTCTTTACTTTTTGTTTTGGAGAATGGGATGATGGAACCAAATGGCAGGAGTGATTATTTATACGTTTCTGTATCATGTAATGTCTATTGTGGAATGTGTGTAGTAACTCAAAGTTTTATGTACGATTGTTGTAGATAAATTTACATTAAGCTTTGGATTGAAACCACAAACATCTTGAAAAGGCTTTGGACTTTTACGTTGCACATTTCTTTCGAAACAGACCGAAATGACTGATCGAAAACTGGTTTTTCTAATAGTTAAAACCCAACCTCGATTGAACCTTAATATTGAAATGAGTTTTGCATGATTGATTAAATAACACGAAAACAAATTTATACATACTAGATTAAAGAACATAAGGTGCATGTTCAGACAAAAAACAGTAAAACCGTCTCTGCTATTCTCCTACTAAAACAAACAAAGCAGAGATAAGAGATTGGGGTCTTTTCAGCTATCTGCAAGGTTCTTTGTAAGGCCAAGAAGGGATCCATCTTCAAACCTAAGATCTTAACATTAGGGTTCGAGTGACCTCGAACGAACGCGTCCGTAATCTGCAAAAGAGAAAGAAAATGGTTTTCTAGTCAAGGTCTGTTCCTTTCATTAACAAAGAAGACAGGGGATCTTGAGGTTCTTATATTTACTTACCTGAGTGCATCCAAACACTTTCAACACTTTCAGAGATGAGCAGCTATCGATAATGTAGCCTAGTGCATCGTCGGACGTATCTCTGCACCAGGAACATCCAAAATCTGCAGCTTTTCTGAAAGTTTAGCGAGGGCTAAGGCCGTGTTGTGGCCAACCTGAAAACATAAACACAGATGTGTTATTGCGACTTAAGCATGATGGCTCTTTGGATTGTTGGGTATGAGGAGACAGAGACACATTCACCTTCTTGACGTTGTTTAGTGAAAGTTCCACCTGCAAACGCAGCTACAACTTCATCGCTATGAAGAGAGAGAAAAACATATGAAGTATCTGGTCAACTTTGCCATACAACACAGCAAGCACACATACCATAAAAACAGAACTATGTGTATTGTGTATTCTTTAATGTCAGTTTGGATTAGATGATTTGTCATCCAATCCAAATTCAGTTCATGTGTTATCCTTGTTTTTAACTTTTTTTGCCAAGATAACACAAACTAGGTTTGTAACCTAAAACCTTCATTTTATGAATATTCACAATTTAGCAAAAAAAAAAAAAAGAAGTATGTGAATTGTTTGAAAATTGAGATAACTGATAACGTCTCCTAGAATAACAACATATTGCCGGAGTACTCTAACGAAGTAACATTCCAAGTTTCTAAGACATAACAGAAAAATTAGAAAAGCCTTAGAAACCACATGGTCATGTCTTTGTATATAATAGGCTGCGCTACCATATATATGGTGAACCTGTACTATACTAACATAAAATAAAAGTTGTAAAGAGACTTGCCTGAAAGAGTTGCGACAAAAAATCAATTTTTCGAGAGCTTGACAACCATTTGCAAGGTAACCAAGAGCGCAATCCGTCAGCTTGCATACGTTAACCAGGTCAAGCACGCTTAAATTAGGACAGTTTTCAGAGATGTCTTTTATAGAAGAGTCGGTTAATTTCCTGCAAAAATGTGAAAGCTAAATTCAGAATGACCGAATCGAGCAAGAATGGATGAGGAAATTCAATAACATACACAGAGTTGGTAAGAATTAGCTGTTTCAGGGCTTGTCCTCTAGCAGTAACAAACTTCCTCAACAACCGACCCCTGACTGAAGGAAGATCCACAAGAGACAATACTTCCAGCTTCTCAAACTTTTTGAATGCTGTCAGAATAAGCTTCAGGTCGATGCTCTGGCACTCATTGAGATACAGTTCCCTTAAAACCGACCCCAATGAATCAGATAACATGTCTATGCTAGATGAGGTTAGAAGAGAGCATTTGGCTGAGATTGGTAGATCTAATAGTAGGAGCAGCGGAAACAAGTGCCCGTAGCCCCACATCGGAAAGACGGCATGCACCACTTAAAGATAGGGAAGACAGCATCGGCAAGTTTTTTGGTGACCTTGCCAAGGTGGAGGGTAGAACATAATCTGGCATACAACGCCCACACTGGTCGAGTTGAAGAACCTGTTTGGACTTTTTAATTACAAAGGTAGCCTACAAATACTATCACTTTCTAAGGAGGCGAGGGTCACATACGTTCAATAGCAAATTAATTAGTTAAGAATAATACTGAGAAGGTTGCGCTGGAGATATGTGATGATCTATTATTAAAGTAAAAGTAAGAATGAGGTACCATCAAGTTGCTGGTGTCATAGTTGTTAAAACATTCCGTGAACTGTTCCTCGGTCAGCCATGAGCAATCGGAAACAAAAATACCTGTTGGAGATCCACGGACAAGAAGATCGAGAAAATGTAAGTCCATCCTCCTGGAATCACAAAGCAATTGACAAAGCTTAACCCTCAGTGCGTCTGGAACATAGTCAAGCGAAGTGATGGCATCAGCGTTCTTGACAAGAACTCGCATGGATAATTGTTGCAGAGATGGAGCTCTCGGAGGAGAGAAAGTAGTGACGCTTCTTCTGGGAGCCCAAATAATGGGAGAAGATCTTTCTATACCAGTATGCAGAATCGTGTTGTCTTCTTGGTCCGTGTTTTTAAAAACTTCGGTTAACCGAAAACGGATGGTTCTATACGGTTCGGTTTCGGAAAATCGAAGTCGCAGGCCTAGGTTCCTCCATATCTTAGGGTTTCTTTCTTCTCTATTTTCCCGCCAACAGATGCCATTTATTTTTCTCCCTTTTCAATACAACCTAGATTTTGAACATACATACCCGTACGCGTAATCTTTCATTTACTAAATATAAAAATTTAATATAAGTTAACAATTTTATTTTCTGTAAAATTTATTACATAATTTATGAATATTTTTTTTAAAGGTAAATATATTTTAGTCAATGGTGAATGATATTTTATTTATTTAAATATTTTTTTAAAAAAAAAATCTATATATTAGTTTTCCAATTTAATGTAATTTTTATATGTAATTCATTTATTGTTTCTATTTTATATAATATATAGACTATACTTATAAAATTTATAAAATTAGAATATAGTATATTATATTTTGTTTATAATAAATTTTAATTAATATTAATATATAATAATCTTATATTACTAATTAAAAAATTAATTACTGTATTAATTAAAAAATATTTAAATTTTTAAAAAGATTTTCTTAGATTTTTTTCTGTACATATTTTGAGATTATTAAATCTAAAATTTAAAATTACAGTTAAAATAGATTTGTTATTAATATCTTTATAATTATTTAGAAATGTTATACATTAAATAAACTAATGTAAATAATCAAAACAATGTATCTGAGTATATGTACCTAGTATGACTATTCTATAGTAGATAAAAATGGTATCTATTATATTAAAAGAGAAGTCACAACGTCTATTCATGTGTGATATTTTTAAAAATGGACCTTCCTTAGAAAATCTTATTTCATTTATTTCTTATTAGCATATTGACATTATTAAGATATCACATCTTATTTAATCAACACTATAACAACTTCTCCTATAAAAGTTTTTTAATTTTATTTCTAACTATATAAATTCTGTTGAAAAAAGAATCTAACAAAATATTATAAAAAAATTTAAAAAAATTTATATAATAATGCATTAATTAATTTCGTAATTATTAGTCTAAATTATTTGAATATAATAATGTGATTATTTATGAAAAAATTCTATATACTCAAACTATAGATGCTAAATTATATATTTTAAACATAAGCATGAAATATAAATGATCCTAAACAAATATCTATTCTATTGTATAACTAAATAAAATTTAAAAATATTTTGCTTGCAAACTGTAGAGAAATGTATAAAACGTATAGAAATATTTTGAAGGGGGTTACCTATTTGATTATTTCAAATTATTAATTTATTGTACCTACTTTGAAATTATATTATTATGTAATAACAATTTATGAGAAGTTAAAATGTATAAACAATCTGTATGTATTAATAATTTCAAATAAATAAAACAATAAAATTATAGAATTACATTATATATAGCATTAAAATGCAACACATATATTTAAAATGTTTAAGATAATATCAAAGTATACATTTATAATACAGGCTAATAAAGTATTCAACAATAAAAAAAGAATTAAAGTCTTTGTTATATTGAGAAACGTACATATGTTCTTTTTCTCCAAAAATATATGTTTTATGTCTTTTGATTACAAGATGATAGAATTACTAATTATTAATGATCCATTTGATATTGACATACTATACTATCCTATTTATAAGATGCATGTTGTTTCAATAGAAGATTTCTATATTATGTAAAGTCCAATTTAAATTTATATATGTTTGAATTACGTTACATAAAAACTTATGTTCTAATAATATAACTTCACATTTAACATATTAAAAACAAAAACCAAATATATTTAATATTCAATCATTTATTTTATAATTTGTATAAATATCTAATACTAAATACTTAAAGATTGGTATATATGAATATTTTAAATTTATCATAAAATTCAAAAAAATTACTAAAAAAATTATTTTCTTACAAATACTTATAACTTAAACTGAAATTAGATCTATTTATTAGATTTAATAATAGAGAAGTAAATATAAATAATTTTCAAATTTTTGGAAATTTTGTCAAATAATTAAATACAAATCCAACAAAAAATATATATAATAAGAACTAACAAATACATGTGAGTTTGAAATAATTAATCAAATAAAACAACAAACTATAAAATTAAGATGTTTAAAAATAATATAAATAGTTAAATATATATATATATATATACATATATACATAAAATGAAATAAACACCCGCACGGTCGTGCGGGTCAAGCTCTAGTTTCTCTTTTAATAGAGAAGATTAAACATAACGAACGTTACAAGCTCATTTATACAATACTAGGTCATAGTTTTACATATAAATGTTTGATATGTTATAATATATTTTTATTTTGAATGTAAATATTTTTTGTTATATATTCTAATTAAATAAATTTATATATTCTGATTATTTTATCTATACTAATAAAATCTATTTATTCAAGGTTATTTGAACCCTTTATAGTATAGATAAAATAATAAGAATATAAAAAATTTTAAACAATATATTACCATAAATTTCTCTAACAATATATTGCTTTAATAACAAAAATATATCTATACTATTATTTGCGAAGTGATTTTTCGCAATGGAGCTCTCACGTTAAAAGTTAGAGCGGTTAATATATATTTTATCCTTAATGAATTTTTTATATATAACTAATTTTATAATTAAAAACAAAATTTTAAAAAAAAATTAGATTAGTTTGTTATTATCTTAGATAACTGAGAATAATTAATCTAATAAATTTATAAAAAAAATAAAAAATAAAAAACGAATTTCAATGATTTTAGATTTATCTTTATCTAAAACTCTTTTATATTGGGTTATAAAGTCTAGATTAACCTTGAAAAATAATTATATTGCTTAATATATAATTAATTATAAATGAAAAACGAATTTTATTTATTTGATAATTATCCTTATTTTAATTTTTTATATTATGTGATAAAGTCTTTATCAACCTTGAAAAATAATTATATTTTTTATCTATCTATACTATTATTTAAGAAGTAAATTTGCTTAGTTGTCATGTTCTCCATAAATTTAGGTACTTTTGTTTATTTATCATATTTTTAATATTTATATATAATTTATTTAAAATAAAACGAATTTATATGATATTATATTTTAAAAAATAAGATAATTTTTGTGATTTATGTTGTTATCTTGAACTAAATTTTTATATATAAAACTTAAAGTTTAAATTAAGATATAAAAATTGTAATATTTATTATATAACTAAAACAAATTTGTATTAATAATTTATATTTTTCTAAAATAATATAATTATTATGTATTATGTTGTTATGTTGAAATTACAATTTCCTATTATAAAATTTAAAATTAAGATATAAAAATTATATTATTAATAATTAAATTTAAATCATCAAAAAAATATTTGAAAAGTGAATTTGTTGATTTGTCAACTTCTCCATGATCCTAGGTAATTTTGATCACTTATAATAATTTCTTTAATTTTGTTTTGTTATTGATTATATAATTAAAACTAATTTATATTAAGAATATGATATTTTAGAAAATAAGTTAATTCTTATATATTATGTTGTTATCTTGAAAACATATTTTTTACTATAGAATTTGAAATTAACATGTAAGAAGTCTTTTCTATTTTTTAAGAAGTGAATTTAATGTTTGATGGTTTGTCATATTTTCCATGATTTTAGGTAATTTTGATAATTATCATAATTTATATAATTTTATATATAATTTATTATATATTTTAAAAAAAAATTATTAATAGTATCAGATTTTTAGAAAATAAGACACTTCTTATGTATTATGTTGTTGTCTTGAAAATATATTTTTCTATTAGAAATTTAAAATTACAGTTTAAAAAGTTGTAATTATTCTATACTTCAAATAAATTTACACTAATAATTTTTTTTAGAAAATAAGGTAATTGAAAATATATTTTTATATTATATAATTTAAAAGTAAATTGAAAAATTATCTATTATTAATTAAATATAAATCATCACTCAAAGCAAAGTTATTTAAGAAGTGAATTTGTTGATTTGTTAAGTTCTCCATGATTTAAGTAATTGTAATCATATGTCATCATTTCTATAATCTTATATAATTATTATATAATTAAAACGAATTTTCCCTATTATATTTTTAGAAAATAAATAACTTATGCATTGTATTTTCATCTGAAAATATTTTTTCTATTATAAAATTTAAAATTAAGATATAAAAATTATAATTAAATATAAATTAAGTAAAAATATTTGGATAAATATTATAATTAAATATAAATCAAGGAAATTGATTATAGAACTATATTATTTAAAATATTTCTGATGTTTGAGTTTTGTCATTTATAAATATTTGATGTTTGATTTTTTCTTTTCGAAAACATAAGTAATATATTAATCAAACATCAACGGATAAATATTCATAAGAAAATTATGCCCTCAAGTGCGGGCAAAACACCTAGTAATCCATTAAATTAAATATTTTTCTCAATTGATAGATTTTGAAACTACAATATATATGGTAGGCCCTTATCTAATATATGGATTTTACATAATTAAGTTTGAAATTAGTAGAAGTTATCGTAATTCATCACCCATGTATAAACAAAAAAATATGTTAACCTTATTATTACAAATCAAATAACCTATTCAAATTTATGTACTATATAAAGTACACAAGAAGTATTCAATTTAAAAAAAATATATCAGATTTTCTATATTTTTGCTTGATCAACCGGTGTTGGTTCACGGGTTAATGACGGGTTTTTGTGTTTTATCGAATTTGTAATAATTAATTTTTCATTAAATATAAATTTTATGAAAACTTATCAGTTGGTAGAACCTTTAATTGTATGCTATATAAAAAGTAAGCCAAATTTACCGGACCGCGGGTCCGGATCAGATATGAAAATTCTACGTATATAATTTATAGGTATATAATTTATACTGGTAAGTTTAAACTACATATCCATTAATTTATTTCATTGTATCTATGACCTAACAAGAAAGCTAATTCCACCAATCATAAATATAATTTAGTTAATTGGTCTAATTTTATTAATTGGTTTAACCCAATTGTATGTTTCTAAAGAATAAATAAATTATATACATTAAAATTGTAATAATTTTGATCATTACAAAACCTATAAACTAAAATGTATAACATAAATACAATGAATTTATTTTATACAATAAATCAAATATATGAGAAGTTAAATCAAAATTTTTAAAATATTGTGATATTTTCTGAGTTTTTGCCGGATCAACCAGTGTCAGTTTCACTGATTAATGACGGGGTTCTAGGTTTTATTAAAAACAATTAATTAATAAATTAGTTACATTAAAATTATAACATTAGTTATCATTACAAAACCTATAAATTAAAATTTATAACATAAATACAATGAATTTATTTTATAGGATAAATAATATATGAAAATCAATTTTTTAAAAAACAAAATAGGGAAAAGTTATAAATACACTTTGTTTCGTACCACAATTCAATATTACCACTACAGTAGTGGCACTACTCTAAGGACATTTTCACAAATACCTCTTTCATTAATGGATAAATGATTAAAGTGACCTTAACTTATCTAGGTTTCTTTCAATTTGTCATTTAATCTACTAGTCTGAAACCGCCTCCGTCGGTGGATGAGTCTGAAACCGCCTCTGTCGGTGGACTACATCACCTTCGTTGGTGGACTACGGTGCTCCGTCGGATCAAAACTAGCTGGATTGTAATCAGTTAGAGATTCCTCGGACCATATATTTTTATTCTTCACTTTTTGTTTTGGTTGTGTGAAACTTCGGTGATAGCCGATGTGAGAAATATCACTGATACGAGAAAAGAGTGATGATTTGGAGTTTTGAGATAACATGATTGATAACGGGTCAAGTGTCTCCTCTTCTGAAAGTGGTTTAGCTAAATTGATTCGGAAAAAACACTTTCTTGGTGAAGAATGAGAAAGACAGAGAGGAGGCTATGGATCCAGGGAGCATTGGTTTTAACACGGGAGAGCCTCGGATACAGCTTTACTTCCTTCTTGGTCTTGTCTACGCTCCTGTGACGCCAATGCTTCTTCCTTTTATCTTGGTTTTCTTCTCTCTTGCTTACATTGTGTATCGTCATCAAGTAAGTTTCTTCCTTCCTTTCTTCAGTTTGTTTTTTTTTTTTTTTAAAAAAGCTGATTTATTATTGTTGCTTGTCAAGATCATAAATGTATACAATCAAGAATACGAGAGCGCTGCAGCATTTTGGCCAGATGTTCATGGACGAGTCATATCTGCATTGATAATATCTCAGCTGCTTCTCATGGGTCTATTGGGAACGAAAAACGCTGCATTAGCTGCACCATTGCTCATTGCTTTGCCTGTGATTACCATCGGTTTCCACCACTTCTGCAAAGGTCGTTATGAGCCGACTTTTATAAGATACCCTCTACAGGTTTGTTTCTTTCTAACATGCATTTTCACCATCTTATATGTATCATCAACTATTTCTGACTATGAGTTCATTGTTGTTAAACAGGAAGCTAAGATGAAAGATACATTGGAAAACGCAAGAGAGCCAAACTTGAACCTCAGAGGCTACTTGCAGAGTGCTTATGTTTATCCTGTGTTCAAAGGCGATGAAGATGATGATGACTATGATGATGAAAAGCTCGGGAAGTATGAGGATGAAGCTATTATTGTTCCCACCAAACGTCAGTCCAGGAGGAAGAGAGAAAAGGGAGACCATGTCCTGTAAGTTTCATATGAAAATGTTCAATGCTTTTGCATTCACCAAATTTGCAAGAGTATTGATGTTGTGAGTTGCTACTATTTTTTCTGTCAGGCACCTAGGCCATTGTCACACTTGGATTTGGAAAAAGTTCTTGTTACGTCGAAGAAGACGCAAGTTGCAGCAGGTGAGTACTGTGGGTTGAGATGGTCAAGGGAACCAGATGAGGTGGAAGTAGCTATAAGTTGAATCTCAAAGCTACTGGTCTCTCAATTCATTAACCTTCAGTATGGTTCTAAGGATAAAACTATTCATGTATGTTTATAAAACCAATCATATGTATCAACCATCTATAAAGTTTATAAAACACATATAAATATTTATATAACTAGTTATAAAGGTTTGTAAAACTATTTGAAAGGGTTTATAAAACTATTTACAAGAACTTGTAAGCTATTTATAAAAGGTTAATACATTATTTATAAGTGTTTATAAATTAATTTAAAAGGTTTATAAATCTATGTTGAAAACTATTCAATTTTATTATATATTAATTTACATAATTTTAAACTGTTGTTGCCTCTGTGGAACTCCACTTGCTGCTCCAACAACTAGTTCACTCTATGTGATAAGAACTTCTTCCTTGAAACACCTGAGGATACTGTTAAGAGAAGATGTTTCTTCTGGTCTGACTGTTACACCTGAGCTCCTGGGGGCAATTATTAACATACTAATTGTAGAACAGAGGTAGAAGTACAGAAAAATAAACCGACACATTAATGTTAAATGTTACAAAATGAAACCTAAAAGTAAGAAGAAGAACAACACATGTAGTTAGTTACATAACAATGATCAAATATATCAAGGTAATAACCTTAAGAAAAAAGCCTCATGAGGACTCCTGATTTGACAATATGCAGAAACGAAAACTCTATATTATGCTTGTTTTGTGCAGAGCAAGGTAAGATCTAGAAGAGTTTTTTCCAATCAATCGCAGGTACTTTCTTTTGTACAATGTAGTCCATATACATAATCAGAGTATATATATGGTTGAAGATTTAAAAACTTATTGATGTTTTGATACAAGAAAGTTCCAGACAGATATAGGTAAAGCTTGGGCGTTGGAGATTGCTTCAAGAAGAAGAAAGAAAAAATACTTGTAGTTAGTTATATATATTATTGGAGTATCAAACACATGAATGGTTGATCCATCTTCAGAACCCCCAGATGCAACGTTCAAGGATTGTAGGCATGAGTTATTTAGTTTCATGTGCTTACCAAAAAATTGATCTTGTGAGTACAAAAAAGGGCAGCACAATATAACATATAGTCTTCTCTCTCTATCACACCCATAATCAATTATATTTTGTACTTCCTAGTCATTTCCACCAATCGTTCCACACTTAACACTTCAGAGCCTAAGATGGATCAAAACAAGTATATATAAAATAATTTAATAATCCATTATAAAAGATTATATTGTTATAATCCCCTATAACATAATTTTATAACGATTTATAAACTATTCATAAGGTTTAAAAGTCCTTTATAAGTGTTTATAAATAATTTATAAGGGGTTATAGCACATTAATAAGGTATCTACATTTATAAGAGTTTAATATATTATATATAAAAACTTATATATCATTTATAAAGGTTTATAAGGGTTCATAAACTATTTCATGAAAGCTGATAAATTAATGTATAAGAGATTATATTTTGATTTACAAGAATGTATAAATTGATTCATAAGGGTTGATAAACTGATTTATAATACTCTATAAAACTTCTGCATGAGTTTATAAGTTAAATATACATATTTATAAACTAATTTATAAAGTTTTGTAAATCACTTGAATCTAGCTCCAACAGAGTTTGGACTTATAAAATTTCAGTTCTTGTTAGTTTTATAAACTGAAACAAAGTTGCAGTATAAACAAAAATCCAAATAAACAAGAATAAATGGTCCAGAATTCATAAATTAATAAATCAACTTATACACCCTATAATTAGTTTTTCAACCTTTTTAAATCAGTTTATAAACTCTTATGAATCAAACTTATAGACTATTATAAATAATAAATTTCATAAATTGACAAATAAACCTTAATAAATTAGTTTATAAACCTTTATAAATCAGTTTAAAACTCTTATAATCACATTATAAACCTTTGTAAATCATTACAAATAACAGACTCAAAATAATTAGAGAATTTCCAACCATCACTAGAGGAGACCAGAAACTAGTACAGACCAGCACCATCTGATTAATTCTTGCATTGTAAACGTTTCAGGTGAGAATACATCTTAAGCTCTTCACTGATCATAGGAGTGGACAAAGAGCTTTCAGCATTGGTGGTTGTTGCTGTTGTAGAAGAAGAAGAAACATGGTCAGCTGGTTGCTCATTTGATTTCACAGTTGCTGTTAACTTACTTCCCACTGTTAAAATCAATTAATGAATTTTGTCAACCGTTTATAAAGGTTTACAAATTATTTGTAAGAGTCTATAAACATTTATAAAGGCTTATAAAACAATTTTTAAAGTATATAAACTATTTATAAATCTTTATTCAAAAAACTATAAAAGTTTATAAATAATTTAAAAGGGGTTTGCATATAATTTATAGTTAATTTACATTCCTATAAAATGATTTATAAACCCTTATAAAATCACCTTTATCAATAGTTTATTTATATTCCTATAAATGATTTATAAACCCTTATAAAATCACCTTTATCAATAGTTTATTTCCTATAAATGATTTATAAACCCTTATAAATCACTTATAAGTTTATACCAAATATTTATAAGGTTTTATAAAATCATTTATAAAAATTTGTAAAACTTTATAACGGTAATTGCTTTATAAAGTCTCAAAAATCATTTATATGAATATATAGAAACTTTTTCTTATATAGAAAATTTTGGTTTTCTTTCATCTTCTTCTTGTTCTCTGCTCTCACCTTGTCGCTTTCTTTTCTTTTTTCCACTTCCATTTCTTTTAGTCTTCTTTCTTTATCTTCCTCTCTTTATGCTATTCTAATTGATTTTTGTTTTGTTTACAGATCTGAGAACAAGGAATAGCGCTAACAGGGGAAGGAGAACTCATGGTTTGACAGAGCCGAAGCGCTGGAGGTGAAGATAGCCAATGGTTCAGTTCTTTGGAACGACCTTTGAGCAGGTGGTTCTGACTTGACCTAGAGGACCAGTCAAAACATGATAATTCAATAGCTTCATCATGGACATGGAAAAGTCACGTCGGAACAACTGTGTATCAGAAGCGTATGCTCTCACCCACATCTATGTCTCTTCTCTTCCCGTTAGCTGCTGATCAGCATACTGATAAGCTGCAACATCGATACGTGAGGAGGAAGAAAAGAACTTTTTTGGGAGAAGAGTCGCGGGAAATTCAAGACAATTTGAATTGTGAAGAAGTCTCTGTTTCCTACAGAGGGTCTGAGAAATAAAGGGGATTGAAAGACTCTAGCTCGAGTGAAGGGTGTCATGTTACAAAACCGTTGAAGCTTTATATAAAGAAAGAAGAATCATTTGTAAAACTCAGCTTTTGTATTCTGGATTGAGACGTTTCGTCTTGAGGAGAATTCGTGTGGGTTAGGCCAACGATTCTCGATTGATTCATAATACAAACGTTCAGTTCGTTGATTCAATCGTTTTCTTTGTACTTGTGATTGAGTTTGTGAAGTTACAGGATCTAAACTCTATCAATTGGTGCGGTGAGCCGGTTCGCGATGTCCTTGATCGAAGAATCTGATGGTAGAATGGAGTTACTGGAGCGTTCCGCCATGGAAACGGAGAAGACAGTCAAGGTGATCTACGATGGATGGAGGAAGCTAACGGGGGCGAATAATCAGTCCGACGAGCGAATCGAAGCGGTAGAATCTCGTTTGAGCTCCGTTGAGTTTCAGTTAGAAAAGATCGCAGCGGCGATTGGAAGAATCGAATCTAATACGGTATCATCAAAACCTCACGACAAAGATATCGCAGGACCTTCGGGGCCTCAGGTACGTGATTCTATTTCTGAATCGGATGATCTACCTTTAGGTTCTCAGAGGAATATGGATATGTTTGCTAGTTGTGCGAGTCTATTGAAGAAGATTGAGCTACCTACTTTCGACGGGTTGTTACCGTATAGTTGGATTCGTAATGTGGAACATTATTTCAGAGCTGCTCATTACAGTGATAAAAAAAAAGTTGGAATTGGTAGTTTTGAGTTTGACTGGAGAGGTGTTGAATTGGTATTTGTGGAAGGTAGAAGAGGAGTTGTTTGAGAGCTGGTTCCAGTTTAACAGAGAATGCTTGAGCGGTTTGCATAATCCATTGATGATGAGCCACGTAACCGTTTATGTACTCTGAAACAAACTGATTCAGTGAGACAATATGTCAGAGAATTTGAAGAATTAATCACTCAGGTGAAAGGCATTGATGAACCTAACCTGATAAGCAAGTTTTATACAGGGTTGAAACAAGAAATGAAGGAAGTCATCAAGCTAAAAGAGCCTAAGGGATTGCGCAATCATATTGCTGCAGTGGTTAAAATGGAGAGTAGTACCTTCTGTCATGTTATGGGGGGACGTGTGCAACCAAGACAGAACGAGTACACTACTCAAGCTGCTCGATAATAGAGGCCAAATCCGCGTTTACCTCTGCTGGAAGATAAGACTCAGCAGCAAGAAGTGCACAAGAACTTACCTCAGAGACCAAGATTACATTTATCTCCAACTGAATTAGCCGAGTTGAAGAGGTTAAAGTTGTGTTTTCAATGTAAGATAAAATGGTTCCAAGGTCATGTGTGTGCCAACCCAGAACTACAAATTCTGGTTTTGCGTGATGGAGTGGAAGTCGAGGTGTTGCAAGATACATATGAGGAGGATGTTATGGAGGAAGTGTTGGAGGAAGATACGCAGAAACCACAAATGATGGAGATCTCATTGAGTGCTTTTCTCAGTATAGATTCTCCTACTACTACCAAGTTATGAGGTGTGCTCGGTGGCTGTAAGTTGGTGGTGTTGATTGACAGTGGTGCGACGCATAACTTTGTAACTCCGGAGTTTGCTAAGAAAGCTGGTTTAACGGTCCTTTCAGCCTCAGGATGGCAGGTGATACTGGGTAAATAGGGTTACTACTTTGTCAGGAGGATTATGTAAGGATGTGAAGCTTGAGTTGCAAGGCCTAGAGTTTACAATAGACTGTATCACTCTAGATCTTGGCAAAGTAGAATTGGTGTTGGGAGTGCAGTGGTTACGCACCTTGGGGAAGTGTGGGATACTGGGTAAATAGGGTTACTACTTTATCAGGAGGATTATGTAAGGATGTGAAGCTTGAGTTGCAAGGCCTAGAGTTTACAATAGACTGTATCACTCTGGATCTTGGCAAAGTAGAATTGGTGTTGGGAGTGCAGTGGTTACGCACCTTGGGGAAGTGTGGGATCAATTGGATCACACAGGAGTGGAGTTTTTGGTATCAAGGGAAGAGGGCTCAACTGAATGGTGAATTTGATCTGCACCAACCTGGAACACTTTTCAAAGTATTTCTAAAGATGATGGTCAGTGGGTAGTTCCAGGAGATTCGTGGTTCTGTACGTTGAGAGGGAAACAAGAGATGTCACAGGCCATACCAGCTTCTATAAGCAAAGGTATTGTGCACGTACGAGCATGTGTTTGATAAACCTCAAGGGCTTCCGCCTATACGTGGAAGGGAACATGCTATCACATTGAAAGCAGGTACTATGGCTATCAACGTCAGACCTTACCGTTATCCGCAGGCTCATAAGGAAGCAATGACATTAATGGTTGAAGAGATGTTAGAGAAAGGTCTGATCAGAGTTAGCGAAGCCCCTTTTCGAGTCCGGTGTTGTTGGTGAAGAAATATGATAGATCTTGGCGTTTCTGTGTTGATTACCGTGCCTTGAACCAGGCAACCGTAGCGGACAAGTTTCCGATCCTAATGATTGATAACCTCCTTGATGAGCTACATGGAGCACAGATTTTTTCTAAGATGGATCTTACGGCTGGTTTTCATCAAATTCGAATGGAGGAGAAGGATATTCCAAAGACAGCTTTTCGAACTCATGATGGTCACTATGAGTTTTTGATAATGACTTTTGGCCTAACTAATGCTCCTTCTACGTTCCAATCTTTGATGAATGATCTCTTCAGGCCATACCTTAGCAAGTTTGTCTTGGTGTTGTTTGATGATGTGCTGATTTATAGCAAGACCGAAGCAGATAATGCACATCATTTGAACGCAGTGTTACAGGTTTTTGAGCAGAACAAATTATTTGCTAATAAGAAGAAGTGCTTGTTTTCTCAAAAACAGATGTAGTATTTGGGTCATGTGATATCTGCAGAGGGAGTAGCTACTGATTCAGTTAAGACAGAGTCCATGAAAGCTTGGCCTTCTCCGAAGAACATTAAACAACTTCGTGGATTTTTAGGCCTTACTGGGTACTATCGTCGGTTTGTCAGAGGTTATGGCTCCTTGGCGCGTCCTTTGACAGATTTTCTCAAAAGGGATAAGTTTTTGTGGTCCGCAGAAGCTCAGACTGCTTTTGATTTACTCAAGAAAGCTATGGTCTCAGCACCGGTATTGTCTCTTCCTAACTTTAATAAACTTTTTGTGGTGGAATGTGATGCTTCTGGATTCAGTGTAGGAGCAGTCCTAATGCAAGAGGGCCGTCCTATAGCATTCTTCAGTCACGGTTTAACGTCTCGGGAACAACTGAAACCTATATACGAGAGAGAATTGATGGTGGTGGTTTTGGTATTCGAAAGTGGAAACATTATTTGATGGGACAAAGATTCTTGGTTCACACTGATCAGAAGAGCCTGAAATATCTGCTAGAACAACGTGAAGTCAGCATGGAATATCAGAAGTGGTTGATCAAGTTACTGGGGTATGAGTTTGACATCATCTATAAGCTGGGAATTCAGAACAAAGCAGCTGATGGATTGTCTCGGATTGAATACACTGGATTGCAGTTGGGTGAGATCTCATTGTTTGCTGTCACAGTTCCATCGTCTCTGCATTAACAAGATGTTTATAAGGAAATAGCTGAGTGTCAGGACATACAAATGATGATTCAACAGGTCCAGGAGAATGAGGGTGGTATACAAGGGTATTCAGTGAGAGATGGTACACTGTGGTATAAGGGTCGACTGGTGATTCCTAAGAAATCTGCTTTCATTACTACGATATTACGGGAGTGCCATGATAGTCTACAAGGAGGTCATTCAGGGGTTCTTAAAACTGTTAAGAGGATTCAGAAATGGTTTCATTGGGAAGGGTTGCTGAAGACTGTTCAAAGCTACGTTTCTGCTTGTGCTATCTGTCAAGCGCACAAATACTCAACGCTGAGTCCGGCAGGGTTTCTCCAGCCTTTCCCTATTCCTGCTGCTATATGGGAAGATATCTCCATGGATTCCATAGAGGGCTTACCTGCATCTTCTGGTTTCAACGTGATCTTCGTTGTTGTGGACCGTCTAAGCAAATATGCTCACTTTATTGGCCTTAAACATCCGTTTCATGCTGGTGATGTTGCGAAGAAGTTCATTGCTGAGGTCGTCAGACTCCATGGTTTTCCTCGCTCAATCGTCTCAGACAGGGATAAAGTGTTTCTCTGTGCCTTCTGGAAGGATTTGTTTCGTTTGTCAGAGACATCATTGAAGTTCAGCACCGCTTTCCACCCACAAACGGATGGTCAAACGGAGGTACTCAACCGTTGCCTTGAGACATATCCCCGTTGCTTCGCTTCTTCTCATCCTAGAACATGGTACAAATTCTTGAGCTGGGCAGAGTTGTGGTATAATACGTCTTACCATACTTCTTTGAAGACGTCTCCTTTCAAAGTAGTTTATGGTCGTGATCCTCCTATGTTGCTGAAGTTTGAGAAGGGGTCAACAGAGAATGCTGATTTGGAGAGCTTACTGCTGGAACGTGATGTGTTCCTAGCTAGTGTTAAGCACCATTTGACACATGCTCAGCAGCTTATGAAGAACAATGCCGATAAGTACAGGCGCGATGTGGAGTTTCAAATTGGTGATATGGTCTATTTGAAGTTGCGTCCATACCGTCAACAGTCTGTTGTCAGACATGTGTGTCAGAAACTGGCAGCCAAATACTTTGGTCCTTATGAGGTTTTGAAACGCATTGGGAAGGCGGATTATCGTTTGGCTTTGCCTCCGGAGACAAGGATCCACCCGGTGTTTCACGTTTCTCAACTCAAAGCAGTTCTGGACGTTCATCATCAGGTTCTGCCACTGCCTGTTCATCCTTCGAGTGTCGATGACATAGTCATTTTACCTGAGGAGGTTCTGGAGACGCGCTATAATGACAAGGGTAGTTTGGAGTTGTTGGTTTAAGTGGCAGTCTCTACCATCTTCGGAGAACACGTGGGTGCTTTATGAGAGTTTCGTGCCCAGTTCCCTGACTTCAAGCTTGAGGACAAGCTTCGTTTCGAAACAGGGGGTATTGATAAGCTGCAACATCGATACGTGAGGAGGAAGAAGAGAACTTTGTTGGGACAAGAGTCGCGGGAACTGTTACAAGACCGTTGAAGCTTTATATAAAGAAAGATGATTCATTTGTAAAACTCAGCTTTTGTATTCTGGATTGAGACGTTTCGTCTTGAGGATAATTCGTGTGGCTTAGGCCAACGATTCTCGATTGATTCATGATACAAACGTTCAATTCGTTGATTCGATCGTTTTCTTTGTACTTGTGATTGAGTTTGTGAAGTTACATGATCTAAACTCTATCACATACATCAACCCTTTCTTCTGCATCAGTCTCCTGTACTAGCGTGTTCTGAAATTTTCCTCACCTCCTCTGTTGTTGTAGCTCATATCTATCATGCCATCGTTTCCCTCTGCTGAGCTCACAGTATCGTAATCTGATGTAGGTATGGACTGTCCAGAGCTAGGGGATGGCGCCGAGGCAGAGAAGGGGCACTTGGTTTTCAGTTCTTGCTGTAACCCTGTATCGAGTTCAGTCAGGCTTCCCGGTTCCTGAGAAGTTGTATAGCCTGTCTTCAAAGAATGTGCAGTGCGTAATGCCTATGCTATGTGCTCCTGCATTACAAACGATCACAAGAAATGAATCATACCACAAAGAGTTATCCAATACACGATCATGTGTATAGCAAAAGCATGGTGAGAGCTGTTGATAGCAAGGAAGTGAGGACTACCAAATAAGCTGACGGTTTCTCTCTTGTAGAATCCGCTAGTACCAAACCTTGCAAGAATCACCGAGATAGTAGCTTGAGGTGTAGGAAGCTCACGTTCTGCCATTTCTTTGAAGGCAACTACACTGTCCTTTCTTCCATTTTCCAGCGGATAAAACGGACCACCAGCCTTAAGAGTTTCAAAGTCATTGATTCAGAGTTACAAAGATATGAACATGTACAACAAAACCATAAGCGAAGTAAGGAGATTCACCATAAGGACGGCTTCTCTAGCAGCCAAAACAAGAGCGTCTGCACAGGAAACAACACCAGGACATACACTCTCAAGCTCAGACTTGATTGATTCAATCACATCTGAACCTTTCAAAGACTGATTCGGCGGCGCTTCTTTATCAGAAGTAAGAGATTCATCTGCGTCTAGTAGCACCGATGCATCACATTCTATAATGTTGCAGGTGGATTCAAGACCATCATACGCAGAACCAAAGCAATAAGAAATGATTTAATGCTATAACACAAGAAAGTTCCTTATCAATTACAGATTCTAGAGTAGACAAGTGTGCGTAGCAGCCAGGGACAAAAGTGAATAACACACAATAACAACAACTTAATAAACACTTTTGTCTTAGAGAAACAGACAGAGAGAGAGTCTACCCTTTGCTTTATCCTGTAGCTTAGTGACAAACAACAAATATCGCTTCAAAGAGTAATCTTTGGAGTTCCCAAGAGCCACCTCCATTGCCTTTTACATTTCCACATTAAAGAGTGTTAATGAAATCAAAACAAAGAGAAAAAGGGTGTGAATAAAGATTGTTCCTTTACTAAGACAGAAGAAGAAACATACCTCGTCGGACATAAACGGAGCAATGTCGGGCGCTTAAGCAGCCAAAATTGCCAAAACTTCTCAAACAAAACTGAAGAAATCACGCAAGAATCTTAGAAGGGTTTAGTGAGAGAGAGAGAGAGAGTACCTCCATTTGCCGCGAGAGAGCTTCCATTTCATGAGCTGAGAAAGCTCGGAGGTGGTGAGATAAGGGTTAGGGTCTCTCGTGAAAAGACGAGGGAGCTCGACGCAGTAATACTGGTCGAGAGAGACGAGGTCTGGTTTGTTCGGATAGCTCATCACGTTCACCGGGAAATCGTTTGGTCGCGTCGGATTTGATAACCGATTCGTCGAAGATGGCCGAGTTCGCTGGAGTTGCGGAAGATGGCCGAGTTCGCCAGTGATGACGAGATTTGGAGAAAAATAGACCTAGGTTTGACAAATGAATTGAGGGGTAGAATAGTATTTGCATATTAAATTTTTAAGGGTAAAGATGATTAATGTAAAAGTGAAATAGTGTATCATGAATGTGCTAGTTTTAGCAATTTCCCAAAAAAATATTATAATATTTTCTGAATTTTTGCCGGATCAACCAATGTTGGTTCACGGATTAATGGCGGGATTTTGGGTTTTATTGAATTTTAATTAATAAATTTTCATTAAATATAAATTTTATGAAAACATATCAACTGGAAGAACCTATGATAGAATGATACTTGAAGAACATATGCCAATCCGGGTCATGTACGACCAACAAGTTTAAAAATGCTCGATTATTTGTAAAATTCACTTCAGTTTTAGTTTTCGGTTTTCAATTTGGTACGGTTCGGTTTCGGCATCAAATAAATATATCCAAACCTATACACTATCTTATATAGAAATTTAATTGAAAAGAATTTATATATTTTTGAATTTATTATTTTCATTATATATTTGTAATAAACAAATCCGCGCTTTCTAAGCGCGGATCAAAAAGTAACTTTTTAAAAATACAAAATATATTTTATTGCAGTATTTTATGAGTAATTACGTAAAAATATTTAATGTGTTCCAAATGTCATTTTCGAATAACTATTGTAGGAAATTTTAATTTCTGATTTTCATTGAAATAATATTACATTACTGTTATACATTACATGATATTTTATAAATAATACATACAAGATAGCATAAATAACATTCTCTAAATATGATATGTACATAATAATAAGGGAGAATTTCAATTATACCACTTTGGTGGTACCACTTTTCATGTTTACCATCAACAAAGGAACATTTTCAAAAATACACAATTTATTAAAGGATAAAAGACTCTTATATCATTGTTCTTTATATATATATATATAAAATAAATATTAAATAAAATATTAACCCTAAACCCTAAAACATCAATTCAAAACTCTAAACCCTAAAAAGTAAACCCTAAACCCTAAAAATCAACCCTAAACCCTAAAATATCAATTCTAAACCTTAAACCCTAAACTCTAAACCCTAAAAGGTAAACCCTAAACCCTAAAAAATCAACACTAAACCCTAAACTATCAATCCTAAACCCAAAACTCTAAACTCTAAATTCTAATAGTATTTTGACTATTAAAATTTTAATGGTAAAGTTGGTTAGTGTAAAGTTGAAAAGTGGTATGTTGAAAGTGTTATTTCTGGCAATTTCCCTAATAATAACTGCTGTTATCACAAAATAATTTCATCGGTTAATATAGATTAGATTGATCCAGCATGTGATTATTAACACCATAACATACACAAATAACACAAAATTATTAGCTACTAATTATTTTCCAATTATATTAAAAATTGAAATAATTTACCAACTTTTATGGTAAATACTAAATTTATAGAGCGGTTAATGGAAAATATTAAAAATGTTTGTTATCCAAAATATATATATATATATATATATATATATATATATATATATATATATATATATATATATATATATATATATAATTTTTTATGTTATCAATATAGTAAATAAGCAATAAAATTTCTAATCACCTATTGTATTATTATTACTAATATCTAAAAAATATGCGATGAAATTTTTTTAAATCTCTCATTTTCGTAATTTTTTATTTTATTAAATACACAAGATCATTGACGTCATAGATCCGAGCATTGATGAAATAATTTTTTAAATACATATTTGTAATTATTGTAAATGTGATTTGATTGGTTATTGATGTAAATTAGTTTTTGAATTAGTTTTTTAATTAAATTAAACAAATAAAAAATAAAATAATCATCAACCAATCAAATCAAAATAATTAATTATAGAGCTCTTCTATGAAGAAAATATAAGAAAATATCAATTAATTGACTTGTCAATTGAAAAATAGAAGGATTGTTATCTAAAATGAATTTTATTTTTTCCTATAAATTATATTATATGTAATTTTGTATATTATATATATATATATAATAATAAGTAATAAAATTACTAACCACCGATAGTATTTTATTATTAAAATATGCAAGGAGAAATTTTCAAATCTCTATTTTCCTAAAAAATTTATTTTATTAACATGTAATTTGTGTCATAAATCCGAGCATTGATTTATGTAATAAATATTATTGGAAATTATGATTTGTTTGGTTATTGATGTAAGTTAGTTTTTTATTTAAATGAAATGAATAAAATCAAATTAAAAATCATCAACCCTTCAAATTAAAATAATTAATTGGATAATTTGCCTATGAGTAACACAGAAGCAAAATCATTTAACTGAATTTTGAATTATTAACACCAAAGAATACACAAATAACATAAAATTATTAAAATTATTAGCTAATAATTTTATTTTATTTTTAGTTATCAATATATTATGCAGAAGAAAGTTTTTTTAAAAAATTTTCTTAAATAGATTATTTTTAATATGGATAAAATAGTTTTTTTTTAACAATCGATATAGATTTTTACATGATGAAATGTTAACTCAATTTATTTTTGATAACTGAAGTTAGTTGAACATTTTAAAATTACATTATATATATAATTTATATATCATTATATATACAATACACAACTAATGAAAGTTACTAATTATATTTTCTTTTTAGTTATTTATATAACATTCAAGGATATTTTTAATATTTCCAAATTATTTTAAAACTTGAATTTATCAACTTTTACGGTAAATACTAAATTGATAGATTTGTTAATGCAAATCTTAAAATTGTTTGTTATCTAAAATGAATTTATTTTTCACTTAAAATTATATATACATACTGTTTTATATATTATCAATAATACACAACTAATAAAATTACTAACCACCTAATGTATTTTTTATTATTATCTAAAAAATAAAAAAAAAGAGAATTTTTTAAATTTCTCTTTTTCCTAATATTTTTTATTTTATTTAAGGACAAGATCATTGATGTCATAGATCTGAGCATTGATGACACAAATCTTTAAATACATATTTGTAAAAATTATTATTGTAAATATGATTTGTTTGGTTATTGATGTAAATTAATTTTTGGTGTAGTTTTTAATTAAATTAAATAAAAAAATTATCAATCAATCAATTGAAGAGCTCTCATATGAGTGACACATAAGGAGGATTATTATCTAAAATGATTTTTTCTCTGTTAAATTATATTTATACATTCTGTATATAATAAATAAGTAATAAAATTACTAACCACCTTTTTATTTTATCGAAAAATATAAAAGGAGGAGTTCTAAAATTTCTATTTATGTAAGAATTTTATTTTATTAAATTGACATGTAATTGATGTCATAGATCCGGGCATTGATTTATGTATTTATTATTTATTCGTAAGTATGCGGTTATTGATGAAAGTTAGATTTTTACTTAGATTTTTTAAGCAAATTAAATAAATAAAAACAAAAGTAAAATTCATCAACCATTCAAATTAAAACAATTAATTGGATAGCTGCCTATAAGTGACACATAAGAAAAAATCATTTTATTGAGTTTTGAATTGTTTACACCATAACATACACAAATAACATAATATTATTAGCAAATAATTTATTTTCTTTTAGTTATCTAAATATTATGCAGAAGAAAGTTAAAAAAAAAACATTTCTTAAGCAAAATATATTTAAATATGTATAAAATATTTTATCTTTTACAATAAATATAGATTGTTACATGATGGAAACGTAAATTAAATTAATTTTTGATATCTACAATTAGTTTAACATTTGAAAATTACATTATATACATATTTTATATACAGAAATACACTACTAATGAAAGTTATTAATTTATTTTGTTATTTTATTTTTAATTATTTATATAACATACAAAGATATTTTTAATATTTTCAAGTTATTTCAAAATTTTAAATAATTTACCAACTTTTACGGTAAATACTAAACTTATAGACTAATATCTTAAAAGGAAAATTGCTAAAACTAACACATTCATGATACACTATTTCATTTTTACATTAATCATTTTTAACTTTAAATTTTTGATAATCAAAAGACCATAGTACCCTTAATTAATTTTGTAAAAATATATAGTTTAGAATTTAGGGTTAAGGGTTAAGAATTTAGGATTTAGGGTTAAAAATTTAGGGTTTAGAGTTTAGGGTTTAGAATTTAGGGTTTAAGATTTCAAATTTAGAGTTTAGGGTTTAGGGTATAGAATTTAGGGTTTAGGGTATAGAATTTAGGGTTTATAATTTTAGGGTTAGGGGTTTAAGGTTTAGAATTTAGGGTATAAAATTTAGGGTTTATGGTATAGAATTTAAGGTTTAGGGTTTAGAATATAGGGTTTAGGGTTTAGAATTTAGGGTTTAAGGTTTAGGGTTTAGAATTTAGGGTTTAAGGTTTATGGTTTAGAGTTTAGAGTTTAGGGTTTAGAATTGATATTTTAGGGTTTAGGGTTTAGGTTTTAGGGTTTGAATTTCGAAATAGTATAATTCGCAAAAAATAAAAAAATTATTTGTTGTTTTTTTTATTTATTTAAATATTTATTTCATATATATAAAGAACAAGTGTATAAGAGTCTTTTATCCTTTAATGAAAAGTGTATTTTTGAAAATGTTCTTCTTCTTAAGGTAAATGTGAATTAGTGTATCTAAGAATGTGTATTTATGCAATTTTCCCATCTTAAAAATGTTTGTTATGTAAACTGATTTTTAGTTTTTTTACTTTATATTATAAATATGTATATATATATTTTATATAATATATATATAATACATAAGTAAAAAAAATTACTAACCACCTATTGTATTTTTTTTATTATTTACAAATATGCGAGGAGAAGTTTTAAATCTCTCTTTTTAGTAAATTTTTT